TATATATCCATATATATCCACACACTCATAGAGACCCAGTATAGGGTTTACAAGACTGCAAATCTTTACAGGAACAGAAACCTTCATCTTTCTCCCAAAGAATGACTGGTAGATTCAAATTGATAAACTTACAGATAGCAAGTTAACCCAGCCACTAATAGTTCTGATGTGGAGATGCATGCTATGCACAGGACAAAAAGTTTGTTTGAAATTACAAGGTTGTTTGTTCAAACTCAACATTCGCTCCAAGGAAACTCTCTATTGGATCTCTTTGGGTTGGAACAGACTTGATGGAACTTAACAACTAAATATACATGTAGAAATGGTGGAAAATATCCTTCTTCTTGTTGTTAGGTGCCATCGATTTGGTACTGATTGGTAGTGATTATATTCACAACAATATGTAACACTGCCCAATTATATGTCAACCTTAGTATCTTTGCTACATTTGAGCTCATTGAGGCTGCAACTGTGTCCACCCATCTCTTTGGGGGTCTTCCTGATTTTCTCCTACCCTCCACTTTGTTGTTATTTAAGTTCTGTTGAGTCGTTTAAGTGCTGTCGACCCATAGCAATCCTGAACAAGGTTTCCGAGGCTGTAAATCTTTATGGGAGCAGAAAGCCTCATCTTTCTCCCATGGAGCAGCTGGTAGTTTTGAACTGCTGACCTTGCAGTTCGAAGCCCGATTCTTAACCACTACGCTACCAGAGCTCCTGGACCCTCCACTTTAGCAAACATAATGTACATCTACAGTGACTGGTCCCTCCTGACAATAAATTCAAAGTCTAAAGGATGAAGTCTGGCCCTTCTGGCTCCCAAGGAACACTCTGGTTATATTTTTCCCCCAACACAGATCTATTTGTTCATTTGATGGTCCTTGGTTCTTTCAATATTCTCCTCCAACACCATGCTTCAAATGCATCAATTCTTCTCTGGTCTTCCTTATTCACTATCCAACTTTCACATGCACATGAATAATTGAGAATGCCATGGCTTCAGTCAAGCGCACCTTAGTCCTCAAAGTGACATCTTTGATATTCAACATTGAAAGAAATCTTTTGAAACAGATTTGCCCAATGCAATATGGCGTTGGATTTCTTGACTGCTGTTTCCAT